TATGTATGTAGGTGATCAACAGAGCAAATGAGCTCTTCGGTGCCCCGCCCACAAGAGCAAGACAGGTGCCGGAATAGGCGGTGCGGATAGCCAGCAGCTTTATTTCAGCTTTGAAGAAGTATAGACACTGGGAAAACTAGACAAAGGTGCGGATAGGGTCAACAAGTTTATATATGAACCACAAATGCCCAAATGTCGGTCGGTCTGTTTCTCTCTTGATGTGTTTATCACCACCTTATATGGTACTTAAGCTTTTGCTGATGTGAAACAGATTATTCTGATTCAAACAAATGGGGATCAAGTAGAGTTGCTAATGGACACATTATCTGAGCAAGGCTCCCACCATGGAGGGCGTGGCGTGCGTGCGATAATAATGGTCTCGACGCAAACACATAATTCCTATTCCCGTGTACCTGAAGCGTTCAAACTTGGTGGGAGTACAGCGCATTACGAACCGTCCATCCACAGCTTGACTCTTTTCACATATGGGTATTCGTATGGTAAGATTTGCGCTCTGCGGATGTTGGTCGATATATCGACTCGCTATGCCTATCTGTTGTGTAAATGACCAACCAGTGGCCACTTTGTTCCCTTGAGCGGTGCAATGTTACAATTCTGATTACTATGAAGAGAATTTGAGGGAATATAGCTGAAAACGCAACGATTGATAATGGCAACCGATATTAACCAGTTCGATTATTATTATTCGATTTCGAGCTACCACTCGCTTCCCATTCTTTTCGTGAACATTCAAATTCTGTAGGCTTACAGACGGCAGAATGGAGACCCTGAGGACAGGTTGCAAACTAACTCTTTCTAGTAGGGGGGGGGGGAAGGGGAAAATTGTCAAGTGGGACCCAGATCGCACAGATTAGATAGGTGTGCAGGCGGCAGTGCGGAAATGCTGATGGCAGGTGACACGGCTGAGGAGTAAAGAAGGGGGAATGATTAAATTTACTGACACGCATGAGTTAAGCAGGATTCCGAGTTGAAGGGTGCTTACGAAGTGTGTGTGATCGGAATTGAATTTCTGTTCTCCTGCACCGAAGCGCCCTAATTCGGAAGATAGTAGACAGCAGACCGACTTTACTCAAAAGGGGGAGAGCCCGGTGTTAGCCGAGCAGTCCTACTGGTAATAATAATAACCACTCCAGAATATAAACAATCATATTCATGTAAAGCGATCCTTGGAAATCGTAATATTTGAGCCTCCGGAAAGAAATCTATCTATTCCAATGGGAAAGAGACGAATGCTCTCAAAAAAGGTCCTCAAATAAGTGAAGTTCCATGGAGTAATATCCATCCGTTAATATTATGGAAGTAGGGTATGTCTCATGACTGATTGAGAACCTTGATGCTAATGTGCGTGTAACGCTGAAGTAAGCAGAGATGTCCGATCGCTAGATATTTTGAATAAGTCTTTCTTTCTAGCAGAAGCGATTTTCGAAAAAATCACCTCGGGGAAGGTGGCGCAAATGGAAGCCTTTAATGCCTTTCTGGAACTCTTCAAATTATTTCAGAGGGAAATTTTATTTATAGGACGAGACGTACGTCTTGGCATCGCGCAATTACGTCGATGCAAGTCTGCCTTTGATGCCTATCACCGTTCCACGTAGGGCACTTAGGGAAGGTGAGATCCGCTCATAACTTTGCTTCGAATTCACAAGAATTTGTTTCGGATTCACCTTCTTTTTTCAGTTATTGCGAATCATCCACTCCCATGTCGTTTCAAATTGTGCGTCACTTTCCTCTGAATTGAAATCAGTCCAAGATATGTATAGCGAATTTCGTGATATGGCTACTTGTGAATAATGTCCCAACTCTCCTTTGTTTCGCTCGGTAAATCCGGATTGAATGAATCTCGATAAGGGGTTTCTCCGAATGAGTTGCATTTACTGTTATGATCAAGCCTTCATGGTTTGATTTGTTGAAGGCTTGTCTTGTGGAGCTAAAGAGTTTCAAAACTGGACATGTTCATTCCTTTTGATGATAGCGGATATAGAATGAAGAGGATGGATACGACGAATGAAGCCCTCAAAATTGCACCTGACAATTGTACTGTTGGATCTTGTGATTGTCCGTTGCCTGACAACTGTCGATAATGAGGTTTTTCGATCTCACCTAAATTTTGATCATAAACTTCGTACTTATAGTGGCAAAAAGTGGCAAAAGTGCCTGTATGTCTTTAAATGTCCGGCAAATTGAGGCGAATGAATGGGTCAGCGAGCTCGGCAAAATAAATGATCGAGGAAAATCCGAAACTGCTTTTTTTGCTTTTGAAAGGATTGTGTTATGAGCTGTGAATGTGCAGCATACCTCAAAATTTTCATTTTTAAGTCTATTTTCTTGCTTGATTGAATGCAGAACTATCTGCAACTACTTATTGGTTTGTTAGTTTGCTACGACGTCCTCCCTGAATTCAACGACGTCGACAATACTACTGCTATCGCTATTTTGCTGTTCTACAAATAGTCATGTACGATAAAAAACGGAGCAAACACAATATTTGAATTCTTAACATAAGCTCACTGACGCTTCACATAGATCAGTGCAATGGAGGAAGGCTCTGCTGGATCTAAGCCGCTGGTTGAACAGTGGAAATAATGTAAATAATTCATTTGACTCAAAACCCATTGAGGGAAGGAACGTGTAAAAGTCCCGTCACCCTCATGAGGCAGGAGAGCATAATCTAAAGTAATCTTAGATACTCTATAAAGATAAAGGACCAACACGAGGACATGTTAACACTATCGATGGTGTTTTACAACTTTATCAATGTCTAAATGTCTAACAAATTGGTATGTGCATTATAATGTTTTGTTCTAATCTCACTCCAATTGGGATCATGGAAACTTAACGCAGATGACATCAAAGTGTATATTGAATATGACCACGATAGCAAGGGGATTAACATTCAGACTCTAAACCAATCCATCACTAATATGATGGGTTGGGCTACGGCTTTGGATATACCTGTGAACCTCGCCAAGACAATGGTACTCGGGAATGCTTATAGGGTTCCGTACACGTTAGGCGATGCAACTCTGCTTGTCTCTGAAGACGTCAAAGATCTTGGGTTCCACGTCAGCTCAGATCTGAGTTTTGAGCACCACATCAATATTATCGTACAAAAAGCATTCAGAATTCAGGGACTTCACGAATTTCAGAAACATCCATAGCAATAGCGTCTCACTGTTTCTGGGACATTGATGCTATGTTCCTCCGATATCAGAGTATGGATCACAGATCTGGAGCCCGCAAACTAGAAACCTTCAAGCGAAAATAGAGAAAGTTCAGCAAACCCTTCACAAAAGTATTGATGTACACATGTTAGTCGAGTCTCACGNCTGATTACAGAGAACGTCTACAACGGCTCAAGCTGAAGACGCCTCTCTATAGACGAGTTTTCAATGACATCGTCTTCGGTTTCAAACTGCTCCGAGGCGAATTAAAGCTCAAGCCGAGCAAGTACTGGGTGTCTAGGCCTTGCCGGGGACGTACTAGAATGCTTTCCATAACTTGTTCTGAACTTGCCAAGAAACACTGCAACAGGGTTTGCTCGTCTTTTTTCTTCCGTAGTGCGAAGTGGCTTCAGCTGCTGCCTGCTGAGATCCAAGAAACTCAAAGTGTTGGTGTGCTCGAGAAGTCGTTGATGTTTCACTTCACTGTATTGTTAGAGCGCACCGCTGCGTGCATCAAAATAAATAAGTAAATAAATGAATAATTTTATTTTATTTTGTTATTTAGATAGGATGGTATTCGATAAAATGTTATAATTCTAACGCCCGACAATGGCGGTGAATGCTGAAGCATTACCAATGGAAATGGGAATCAGGGGCTTCGGGGAGCGCGTGTCCAAAACGAGACTGGATAGCAACGTGTTAACGCGAAAAGTAATTGGATCTAGCTATTTCTTACAGCCATCGTCTGCGCAGCTCGAGTTGGCCCAATGTCTTTGTTCGCCGCAGTTTGACCAAGAAAGAGCGTGGTCGCGAGTTCCACTCCAGGGAATAGTGCAGGGATCGGAATAAGCAACTGGGTCATCGAGAGTGGGTTGTGTATCGCGGGTTAAGTCGTGTTAATGAGCTCCGTGAATTTAGGATGTCGGAAAACGCCTAACTCGACACGGTACACGGCAAACAATCAGGAGTTTTCTCACAAATTCAAGAATCTCATGCAATGAACTTTATTAGTAATATGCCGCCCATCGATTCGCAACATGGTGCATCGGAGATGGCTAAACGGACCCGTTCGATCATCAATCGATGATCGGTAAAAATATGCCACTGCCACTGCTCTCGGATCGGAACATCGGATACTATGGGGCACTTTATATAACAGTACACATTCTGCATGTCCCAGCAATACATTTAAAGTAAAAATATAAATCGTTGCCATTAAAAGTAAAACTAGCCCTCTTCGGCAGGCTGTCGCTTATTTGGTACTAGATGTTTCGTTCAGTTCACCTTCCATTTTCTCTTTTATTGTTTTTCGATCTCGCAGCTTCTCGTGTACTAATTTTCTTACAGTAATCGATTATCTTACTTGAAATCTACTGATACTCGTGCTCATTTGACTCGTTTGACGGAAATAAACTCGCGTCGAGTCGTCCGCCTAAGACCAATGCAACACAAGCTCAATCCAGTTATTTCAGATAACTTTGTCAAGTTTGGAAGTCTCAGTGGCTGACTCTGCTGCGATGTCTGCCACCGGTTATATCAAATGCCAGATGACGGAAGCCCTCAGTTCCCTAGCGGGAAAATTGGCGGAACTCGAAGAAACAACGCTTGAGATCACCGAAAAGGAACGTAAAACTGGCGAATTCGGTGACAGCGAAAACATAGCATATTATGATAAGAAACTACTGCAAGGAATAATACATATAACATGCTGGACGAGCAAATCAAAAGAAACCTGGAAGCAAAGCGAGGATCACTCCAATAAGATACAAAAAGAAGACGACCGCTACCAACTGATCCAAGATTTCACAGATCATTGGGAGACAATCGAAGCAGAAAACACTATAGTCAATGCCCAGGTCCTCGCCGAAGTTCCCGAGTACTTGAGAAGAAAGATGGAAAGTAACACAAAGGAAGAAAGTCAGAACAGGACAGAAGGACTGTTCCCCACGCAGATCGAAGTACAGTTTCCAAAGCTGGAATTACCAGACTTTGAAGGTGGTATGGTGAAATTCCCAGAACCGGGAATTGTACAAGCTGGTAGTTCACAATAATGCAGCGATTGCACCCACGGCAAAATTTGCACACCTCAAAACCGAACTAGAAGGTACGGCCGATGACATCATTGCCTCCATTACTAGGTCAACAGAAAACTATCCCAAGGCTATTGACCTTCTGCCTAGTACATATAACAGACCACATGTTTTGCGAAACAGGCTTGTAGAACAGTTGGAGGGCTACCTGCGGCTGGAAAGCCTGTCACAGAACAACGTGTTACATTGTGCAAAGTTAAAGCGATATGGAGTCAGCTAGCCATTTTAAGAGAACAACCTGTGTGCACGATGACTATGAAGACCATCACATCCATGTTTCCGAGAAGGGCAAGGGAAAAGGTAGGAGAGAAACGGTCAAGGGGTGAGGACTGGACGATGAAGAATATAATCAAGGCATTCGACGAGGTCATTGACCAATTGGAAATCGTCGAAGATACCGACCCAACTCCTACCCTCAAGGCGAGATCGTACACCACCAATAATACACAAATTTTACGAAACCTGAAAAAGGTTGCAATACGGACGCGAAGGGAAAGCAGTATCAGCTCGAACAACGAAGCATCACCGACACGTAAGGCTCAAAGTAGATAGAGTTCGACTCGTCAAAGCGAAATGCGATGCAGTTTCTGTTTCCAGACGGATCACAGAACTGCCGACTGCGACGAAGTGACATCTCCTCGAAGAAGAGCAATTGTAGTACAACAACGGCTATGCTGGCAGTGTCTCAAAGTGGGACACAAAAGTAAATACTGCGCCGCCCCTAAGTGTAGCAAGTGCGATCGAAACCACCACAGGTCTCTTTGCCTTCAAAGGAGCTCTTCTCGCAGTCCAGCAATAGCTGATGGTCACAAGACAAGGTACTATAACAGAGATAGTTCAAGGGATAGTTATTCTTCAAAGGTTAGCACACGTAGTGACACAAGGTCACAGTCCCGGTCCTCGAATTCACCATCAAGAGGAAGTTCACTTACAAAGAAACCGAGGTTGCAACGCAGAGGATCACCTCATTCGAGAGTTGGTTTCAGGGATTCGGCAAGAATGAATACCTACACCAACCTGTCTCCCTCTTCAGAGTTCGATCGCAGCAAGGCAGAAGAAATGAAGCGTGAAGTAGGCAGCTCTTCTGACGAGTAAGACGAGTCAGAAGTAGAAACCTTTCGAGTCAATAATTGTGTGCCAAAAGGTGTTCACTAGCAAAATAAGTAAAAGACACAGTTCAAAAGATAAGATCAGATCAATGCCTAACCCATCTCGTCTTATGGTGGTGCAAGCACTAACAATCAATAAAAAGACAAAATCCAAACAGCTTCTCACAGTATGTACTATTGGGTAGCGATTCTGAACACAGCTATAGCAAGAAGGGTACTGCGAAAAGCTTAGGATTGAAATTGAGGAACCCACAAAACATCACTACACAAACATTTGGGGGACATTAGCACACGGAGAAATCCTATCGTGCTAAGATTATACTCCAGAACAAGTCCAACGGTACACCGACTAAACACTACCTGTGGACACGCAAGACCATTACGACAGTAGAGATGTCAACCAATGAAGATAAACGACTGGACTGGCGTCACAATAAACAAAAAACATTGGAAATGGAAGTTGACGTTTTGATTGGGATGGACTACTATTGGGACGTAGTGGATTTCAATTGGAGCCGTCAACTTCCCTCTGAGTCTAGGACAAAACTCGGTCCAGTTTTATCGGGTTACTAGACGTCTACTTCATCAACGAAAAGTTCTGCAGAGACCAATTCAGTGGAAGAATACCGCAAATCAGTAACTGAAACAGATCGCATAATACAACACCTACTCGGTTTAGAATCCCTCGAGACAAAAGAGGGAGCAGATGAAAACATTGCAAGTATAATACAACGCTACTATAACACAGTACAAATGAAAGATGGCTTCATATACGTTCAATTTCCGTGGAAGTTAGATCATCCTCCCTTTGCTGATAACAAAGCTCTAGCAAAACGGAGGCTAGAAAATCAATACAAAAGCTCCGCCATAATACAAAGGTATGGGAGGAGTACTGCAAGACCTTTGGTCAGCGACTTCAGTCGGGGATAATAGAAGAAGTCAACGAGTCGTCAGCCCACGGAAAATGGGTGTATTACATTCCACATCAAGCGGTATACAAAGAAGACTGTGCGACCACAAAATTGCGGAAGTATTCGAAGCGTCGAGCCACATGAGATGTGTACCCAGTCCAAACGACTGCGTGCACCAAGGACCAGCTCTATTGCCAGATCTCTGTGGTACGCTATTACGAGCACAGCTAACACCGATACTTATAATAGCGGCAAAACTAGTCCGTTTCCTTCGAAGTCAGCTCAAGATTACACTTGAGTCAGTGCAGATTCTATCGGAGATTCTTCACAAATAGCCTTGTACTGGATACACTCGAATAGAAAGCTAAAAACCTTCGTCAACAACAGGGTCATAAAGGATACAATGCAAGAATTAGTTGATGCGAAGATTCAAGTTCCACCACGTTAGCACAGAAGATAATCCGGCAGACTGTGCTAACAGGGGCCTAACAGCCTCAGAGTTAACAAACCATATGTGGTGGCGTGGGCTGAGATACATAACTAATCCACCAGACAGGTGGCCTAATACAAATATCGACTCTACTGCAAAATCGACAACATCTGAAGAAGCCCAAAAGGGTTTAGATCCACAACAGCAACAGTATCAGATATTTATACTTCGTTCATTCCGTTTAAAAGAACCAATTCATATCAAAAACTATTACGAATCACTCCACACATTCTGAAATATGCTCTGGCGAAAAAGTAGAAAAGGTAGTTCAGTCGAGAAATCCAACTACAGAGTTATCGACTTAGTGTCGGAAGCGCAATGGGTTACTACAACTGACAGAAAAGCAGCTGAAATCCTTTTACTCCGAGAATATTATCGCGAAGGAATCCTTCAGCTGCAAAGTCGGGTAGTACATCGTCTCAAAGTAACACAGTGCGAAGACGGAATCTACCGCAGGGATTTACGAATGACGCATGCAGTGCTCGAGGATTCTGCGAAGACCCCGATCCTACTTCTGCCAAAACATCAGCTTACGAAGTTGATCGCCACAGACTTCCATCAAAGGCTATTCCACGCCGGCACTTCACACCTGCTATCTGAGCTTAGAAACTACTATCTCATTCCGCAGGATAGCTAACTCGATAGTACAGAAGTGCACGATTTGCCGGCGACAACAAAGAAGACCATTCTCATACCCCAAACCACCGGATCTACCAAGCCAGAGAGTAGTCCGAAGTAAAACGTTATGAAACAGAGGTCTCGATTACTTCGGTCCTATCACAGTTCGTCAAGAAGTAGGGGCAGACAAAAAGATCTGGGTGTGCCTCTTCACGTGTATGGCAACTCGAGCGTTGCACTTAGAAACCGTGGCAGATAACTCGGCACCACAATTCCTCCTCGCGTTCAGAAGGTTTCTAGCACGCAGAGGAGCCCCTACCTTGGTCATAAGCGATAACGCACCAACCTTCAAGCTAGGAAGGGAAATCTTGGTAGGTGAGCTATTCGCTGTAAAGGAACATTCCGCGGTCCAGCATTTCACTGTATCCGAGAACCTAGAGTAGAAGTTCATCACACCTCTTCCGCCCTTGAAAGGTGGCTTCTACGAAAGGCTCGTGGAGTCAGTGAAGCTGGCTCTAAAGAAGACCCTTCACAGACAAACGACAGTCCTATGGCCGTTACAGACAATTATTTCAGAAACAGAATCTACTCTGATCACACGGCCAATTACTCCAGTGGTAACCAACACTACAGATAGTGCATTTGTACTACGACCAATTGACCTTATTAACCCTTATTTCACTCCCATCAGTACAGATGCATTTAATACAAGCGGTCTGCTGAGCAATTCGGATTCGCATGAGATCAACATCTCGTATATACTACTACAAGACACACTAAACAGATTTTGGGATCAGTGGCAAAAAGAATATCTTCAAGCCCTTGCTGAGCGTAATCAAAAAAGGAATACTCCGAGACAAAGTGCAAAAAGTTGTCCAAAAACTGGCGACGTTGTACTCATAAAACAAAAAATACTCAGAGATCACATTGGCCTCTTGGCCTCATAGTACAAATTACGAATCAGCTTTTGGAGTGATCAGATCCGCAAAAGTTAAAACAGGAATTGGATCGATCAATAAATCAGTTAATCCCACTGGCCACGTCGAATCAACTAATTTATATTATATTATTTATTTATTTATATTTTATTGAACGATCCAATGTTTTGTTATTTCCTGTTTTAACTTTTGCAGATTTGTTGCATCCGCATCCATTGTGGATTTGTCACTTCTTCTTTCTCCGTGGTCTTTCTCCAAGCCACGGAGAAAGAAGGTGCGACAAATCTACAAAGGAAAGAGCAACCGGCACGCACACAACCAGACAGAAGAGTAAAACGTAAGAGTAGGTAAACCTCAATCGCGTTATTCTAACCATATCCATATCACAAAGACTTTTACTCGAAAATCTTCTAATAGCCTAACTCGATACTTCGCGCTCATTAATCCAACGTATTATTCATAATAACACAGTAATACAATGATTCACCCCATGAGAATGCTAGATGACTGAAGGGCATGAGTCCTTTCGGGTCCAAGTGGTCTCGCGTCGAATACCGTAAGACGCGCACCAAGGGCAAGGCTGCATATCAGTAAATCCCATTTTCGTTAACGACCGACATTAGTGTTGCCGTCTACGTTTCATGTTTACTTTCGATTCGACCTGTGTTATTATCTCGTGATTTTTTCGTTATCACATTGATCGTATATTTGTTTTTAATCAATATCATCGAAATAACACTTACCACATCTCAGTACTCACATATGCCTAGATCACGTGGTCGACAAAGCAGCGCGCTTCAGAAATAAGAAAATCTTGCTTTTCCTACCAATTCATTTCTAACTCACTCAATAAATAACGTATCGACTCACAGTCAGCTCTATTTTATCGTCTATTGTGATCGCGATTCTCTACCTACTCCACGAAATCACCATATGATATGGCAGTCATGTACATATTTCGCTGCGTACCCTTACAGTACAACCGATATCCGATGACTAATACTTCATCATGATGACTGCTGCTCCGGATCATACTTTCTTATTGATCTTCGTATCTTCTACTGGTAAGTAAACTACATCTTGGCTTCTGAAGTCATCCACAATATTACATCCATTCACCGGCAAATGAAACAATAACGTTGTCCACAATATCGATGAAAGGAACACAATGCCTCCTGGATGAACCACAAACTATTACACATTCTACTTTGTTCGTTTTTTGCCTCACCTTCAACGGAATTGCACGAAAACGCTTCGTACGTCCAGAACTCACTCGTCTCGAAAATTTTTTTCCGATTCTTAAACATTCAATTTTTGGAATGGACCATCTAACAAAGTGGCATGCATTTCATTTTGTTGAATTTCCATCTTATGACCAATTATTCAACTTAAACGTGTTCCATGTCGTTGCACTGATTTCTTATCACAGATCTCGTTACTTATCCTTTATTAATTGCTGACAAGCACGCTAATTGTCATCATTAACCTATGTGCAATATCGCTTAGCACGTTGCTTTAAGAACTTGGTTGCATTCTTGCGTGCTTTTACGCTTCTTGTTATTATGAGTTCGCCTTTTGAGAATCAGAAGAGCAATCTACACGGTTCTTCCCGTGGATTCCGTGGTTGGAGTCGCAGAGGGTTTAGAGGTAGAATAATTCCTTCTTTTTCTAGTCCAAGACAAAATATTCCGCAATCAACTAAACCCGTAGTCCAGCTCGTCGTGTCCTTAAAGGCACCTTTCACGATAATTTTGGGTAATCCAGATTATGATGAAAAATGGAAGACAAGATCGAAATTAGTGGGACTGAGGTGAAGAAACTACGTGCATCGGTGTTTCCAAAGTGAGAAAAGGCTTCGAAAAAACGTAAAAAGGGGGCTGGACGTGAATGAAACCAGAAAAATGAAGAAGAGTGGGGCGCCCGGACGAGCTAAACAGTGTGTTTCACTGCGCGCGTGTGGGTCCTGGTGCAAATAACAGACAATGGTAAAAAAAATTCATTCACTTATAACCATAAATAAACTTAAAGGCCCTAGTGGCAGCAAAAAAACTTACCTTTTTCAGCCTCTAGGAGTAGGAATTCAAATAAGGGATCGCGGGAGCAAAAAGAAAAACATAGGAAAAAAGAATGGGAGAAAAACGTCGCCTCATCACTCGGCGATTAACTGACTGTGCGTGGGTCCTAGAACAAATAATAGCAATCTGTATTGTCTCGACACTCGTCTAACGTGACACCGATCGAGGGGCGGGAACGCGAACTACGGCAACAACGGGTCTGCCACTATGCCCTGGACGTCGAGATTGGGGTAGTGAACGGGTCCCTTATACAACCCATGGCGGCCGCTGAGTATTAATAAGGTAAGAACTCAATAACTTTTTTATCGTGAACGGTGCCTTTAATACTCCAAAACACCAGGGAAGTGGCCATCATTCATCTTGCTCGTCACCATTTGCAGAGCCGCAAATAAATACTTCATGTTCTGAGCAAATGGTAGCTGAGAGTAATACAACACAACCACCGCACTCCACACCCTCTACTTCCGCAAAAGAGAGAAGGAGAAGGAAAAACAGGGAGTTGATTTAGCAGTAGGCATTGCCAACTCGACTGTAGAAAAGGACAAGAAGAAGGAAAAGATGGCGGAAGAATCGATGGTGGTTGAGGAGATACTCCAGCAAGGGATAACAGTGAGGCCGATGGCTTCGGAGAATGTGGTGGCTGAGATGGGTTTCAATATGAAAAAAGGGATAGAAGAAACGGAGGAGGCCAAGAAAAGAAGGAAGGAGAGATTTGAAGGAATAAAGCAGTTTTTGGATGAATTCACCATGACTGGGAGGGAGGTCAGGGATTCCTCCGGCCCTCTCAAGTCTGATCCAGCACCCACCTCCATTGCTAAGCCAAAGGTAACACCCCATAGCGCATACATGATCGAACCGTATACTGTTGAGGAACTAACTGCACGTCAGTTTCGCACAGTGTTCGATTATATTACATCTTGAGAGATCGCATCCGTAACATTAGGATTCCAGATAAAGATACTACACCAGCGACTTCGAAGTAATATCACGTATNTCACGTATAGTCCACATACTCCAAACATTACTAGAGTTAGTACAACATACTACACAATCATTCCATAATCTTGCGGTTATCTTAATCCGGGGTCAGCCTCTGGATATAAGATACACGCACCTTATGGGATGGATTCACGAGTTAACACACGGCCTTACATCGATCAACGTCAACAGGGACTTATTACAAGAGTTCATGTTACCCAGGTTATTTCAAAGTAATCAAGACAAGATCTATTTTAGGTTCACTGTACAAGTAGTCGGTATTACAGAGGATGCCTTTACAGAGATATTACAACACAGCTCAGCAGTTACCGCACATGCCACACGCATGATTAGAGTGCTGGAAACGCGTCAGATGGTACACTTCATGAACCGGGATAGGGTTGAAGTGACCCAAGAAGATGAACAGTATCACTTTAAGTCACAAGCCGGCACAGTTCCACCATATCCTGAGGAGCCCGACACCTACATACAGACTCTCGTGGCGCGACAACTACTCAGAGACCCTGATGATTATGACAACGGACGAGTACCTGCAGACGTCCACTCTAGACAGGCGTCTAAAAGAAGAAGACCGTCGCGCCAGCTCTCATACAGGTCGAACAGTACAACGCCCTCTAAGAGCCATTACTATTCCACACATGGAACCTGGCGAGTGTACTCCAAGGTCGCAGAGTGCCGCAAAACCCCGTGTTCCCCCCAGGCTGGGCGTGTGTCCACTCTCTACCCCAGGGTCGGAGGCGAACACGCGGGGCTAGGCAAAAGGAGGCATAATACAGATGACACAATACGTGAGACCGAGCCTCCATCAATGAGGCCACGATATGACCCACGACCCGGACCAGTTACTCATAGCTCATCTCAGCGGTCGGTGGAGCATGCCCCAACACAGCCTAATACATATTTCAGGTTTCCGGTACGCTGCGCTCCGCCCGAGGACATCTAGGCTTACGTCTTCTGCGGTTCGGAAGCGCACTTCAGCTCTGTTTGCGACCGGTACCCGTACCTAAGCGATAGGGCACACCGGGCAGAGAGCTTCGGGATCTGTTGCAACTGCATCAAACGGCATTGCGGACCTTGCATTCGCAAGGACCCCTGTGCAAGCAGGAAGGCCACCACAGGTCATTCTGTATCCGTAACTGGTTCGCCACTTATGACCTGAATATGACTCCGGAAGCCTTCTATGATCGCTTGAGATCCCGGACCTATCGCGCCCCTCCTATCGGAGCGCCCACTCGTAGACAGTGTGACACCAGTGTACTCGCTTCGAGCAGGGCACGAACGGAGGAGCTGACCCTTCGAGGCCCTCGAAACGAACGCCTCTTGCTAGAGGACCTCCCTCAGGCCCCTCTACCTCGTATCTGAGGCCCCAAGGGGAATTGTCCTCTGCCAGAAGCGATGAGTCTTGATTAAAAGAAGACAGCACAATACATTCTAAATAATGCACTAAATACAATGTAATACATTATGTAATACACGGAGGTGGTATAATGTATTTCAGATAATACAATATTCCACGTGTCTTGATAAGTAATGAAGTTATCCAAATATTTAATTTAGTCATACGGCAGACTAATTCAGTTTGAGATCTACATATAATACAGACTGAGCAAGAGATTTATAATACAGAATTCACCACATGATTTCGACGATTCGTGTGACGATCGCGATTTAATACACCTAGGTTAACGCGATACAGTCTGTTAATACACGTAGGTCGG